ATAACCAGACGATGCTAACCAGTTGCTGGGAGTTCCCTGAACTCCCACTTACATAACCTCAGTCTAAACGGACTCTTGGATTGTCTCTATTCCCGATCAGGATGAAAAGCATTCCCTATTTCCACACCCGATCCAACCCCTGGAAATTCTGATCGATATTCTCCCACTTGGATTCAACGAAGCTCTCTCATCCCATAAGTCTGATGGATTCTCAATAACTCGAATGTTATATAGCATGAACTGCCTATGACATGCACTTACCAAAATTAACATTCCATTACTAGCCAATCTCAATGATTTCCCAACTCCTAGAGTTTGAAAGAATACTCTTGAGGCCTTAACCAATCAAATGATCCAAATCGCCTCCCATGACACCATACCAATTCCTTGAGTTCTTATGCCAATGACTAAGAACTATAACCCTCGCCATGCACTGACGAACCTCCACTCTAATTTCCATCCTCAATGAATCATTGAACTCTAACCGACTTCATTCCATGCGAAAATACAATTCCTTTGATAAATCTAATGATCAAACAACTCACTTAACTAACATCACCATCTTTCTGCCACCATTCCCTTCCTACTAACGGTAGTGCCTTGAACTCCAAAGTTATTACATAAGTAACTCCTGATCATACCCGAACAGACGATAGAGCCACTAAACCCTAACTTCACTAGTGAACTACCCTGCTATCCCTAACCAAAGATCCTCCAAGCAATAATCCTGGACTGATCCCGACAAAGACCCACAACAACAATGGAACACGCTGATCCCACTCGATAAGATACGACCATCTGAAGATTCATCGAAGACTCTTGGTATGTAGAATGGCATATCACAATCCTTGATAATATATATGAGGCATTAGCAAAAAATTAACCCGAGATATTGCTTAACCAAACCAAGAAAAATTCCAACACAATACAAATTACCGATGACAATCCAGAACAATACAGAAGAGGACATACCTAAAAGTAACAGAAATAATCCTAACCTCCTACCTCGACCATTATGAGAACATGGCACAAAACTCACTCCCGATCCCAAATGTCAAGAACTAACAATAGGGATCCTCCTTCCTGAAAGATTTTAGGGATCTACAAGCTTTGGGCTATTGATAACTCCCCAACTGCCCTACCATAATCCCGACTCAAAAATACCCGAGATGACCATCCAAGAATTCCAAATTCCTTTAGTTGGGAGGACCAAATACCACCAGGGGTCTAATCCAAAACACCGTAAGTAAGAACTCCCGCAACCGCACATGATCGACTAAGTACCTGCTCTTGAGTCGGAACCATAATCTGAATCCCATTCCTATGTGCTCATCACCATACCAAACATAATGTACATAATCCGTACATACCCAAGAATCCTCATCCTAAAGACTTCTTAGATTCTCCAAGATTCTCCCTAATTCGAGTATGGATCTTGTGCTCTAAGTAGTATGGACACAATACTACCTTCCACACCTATCCATATTGTCCTCAAGAATCCTCCTGAATCCTCTAAGTCACCATCTAAATCCATACACTAAACACTCACGTCCTAGCACAACAAAACCCACCGAAGAAATCCCTAAGCGTTCCCATGTTCCAGATCTCATATTATCATCAGCTGCTGAAGAACTCCCCATAATGCTAGTCACCTACCTCATGAACACAATCACACGCAACCAAGCATACATAATCCTTTAAGTAACAGACCCATCCCTACAACGGTTGGACTCAAACAAGAGCTACGCAATAGGGTCAAATCCATTACTACAAGATTATCCAACCTTTGTTACATGTGACTTGAAATATTCAGTTAGGTGTTGTTTGTTTTTTTAAACCTCTTCCAACTACTTGTTGTTGCGCCATGCAGCATACACACAACGCTCGATCGTTAGCAACTGTTTGTTTTTCATAGGACTTCTGACTTAAAAACTGTTGTGTGTGTTCAGTGTGGCGCAACACTTGACCCTCTGCTCCACACATCTTCACACCTTACTTTAACTTATAGCAGATGTCTGCAGATGTTAAATAATAAACAAACTTTTTATTACATGCTTCAGCCGTTTGGTCCCCCCTCTTCTGCTACAGAGGGTTGTAGAGGTGGTCCGCAGACTTCAGACGTTTTCACTTAGAAAATATAAATGGAACCTTAGCATCTGACTCCCATCACTCCAATCCAATCTACTACAACACATAGTAGGAGCTCCCACTCCCTCTACCGAATGCTTTACACATACAAACCAACCCAACCCAACATCCCATGTTTCCTAGACTACCAGGAATCACATATCAAGCCAACCTATCATTGGCTAATTAGAACTAGTATGTAAGTCTAAGCTTATACAATAGTTATACAGAGGCATCTCTCCTAGCATTCTCACATGCAAAAGCTGAGCAGATCCTTAGCCCTAACTAGCATGCATTTCCACAGATTCATAAATCAAAGCATAACAGATAACATGTATGGGTAATTTGGAAAAACTTACTTTAGCTTGGTTGATTGCATGCACCACACTCTTTCTTTTCTTAGAAAACTCTTTTCTCAAAATTGTATTCCTTTTGAAAAACATACCAAATCCTCAGTTTGAGTTCAGACATACCCGAGAGTATGTTTGATTCCCTCAAACTAAGGATCTGATACCAAATTGTAATGTCCCAAAAATAAGACCATAAATTTTCATTTTTAATCAAATAAAAACAGTGTTACAAACATTATCCATACAAGTTTTACAAAGTAAGTGTACAGGTACATTTTCAAATTAGAGTAAATTGTAAAATGCGGAAACATGTGGTGCGTGCCCGACAATCATCCAAAGCTCCCTTACTTGAAAACTATAGTACCTGAAACACAAACTAAAAACTATAAGCACAAACCTTAGTGAGTTCCCCCTCCCCCCAACATAATACATACACAAAAACATACGGTTAGGCATATATGGGTGCCCAACCTACCCTACTAGGCATATTTGGGTGCCCGACCTACCCTTCGGCCTATTTCAACCGGTTATGAGATTTATTTCACCCCTACCACTACCACATAATAACAACACAAACATATTGTTAGACATATTTAGATGCCTGACCTACCCTACGGTCTATTTCAACCGGTTACGGGGTCTATTTCAACTCTAACACTGCCAAATAATAACAACACAAACATATTGTTCGACATATATGGGTGCCCTACCTACCCTTGGGTATATTTCAACCAGTTACGGGGTCTATTTCACCCCTATCAGTACCACATAATAACATACATAAATCATATGATCATCAAGCAATGCATGAACGATGATAATTATCACATAGGACGCCATCATATTATGCAATAAATAAAGGGCCAACCTTGGTGCCTTCGACCCACTAAACACAATGAGGGGACTCACCTCACACTTCTGAAGTCCTGCGGATGCATCTTTGGCTCCTGGATGATAGACCCCCAAACTGTCAACATCACAACAACACCCAATTAACAATTGGGTTCCAATGCATAACCATAAATCCATACTTGGGGTTAACAGACCATATTAAACCTAACCTAGCATGGTCCAAGACCAAGGCCCAAACTCACACTATGAAGGCCTAAAAGCCAAATGATCAACAAAGGCCCAATTATGTCCTAATTTTCCAAATTCGGCCCAAACCCCTTACACGGGCCTTATCCTAACATCCATCCAAATATATTAGTTCATTCGGTTGCTCTATGATGGCCCAACAAGAACCCAAACACCTACACCGAAAAGAAAAGTCCAACTTAAAGCCCAAATATGATTAAGCTTTCACATAAAATGACGATTAGGGTTAAGGAAGAACACTTAACCCATTAAGGGCTTAATTTATTAAGCCTATTACTCCAATAGGACAATCATACAATATGGCCAAGCATAATTCATAATTCCAATCCAACGGTCCAAAACGCGGGTCCCGGCAGGTCCCAAACAAAAGTCTCCAAGATTAGGTTCTTCTAAACCCTAACTCGGGTTTCTAACCCAAACACATGCCAATTAGGTCTAATGGTTAATTTTTTAGGCCGACTAGAGTTTCACCAAGTCGGGCACCACCCACTGCCACCTTGGACGATGGTGTTCGACGGTGGTTCACGGCGGTAGCCACCACCTCACGGTGGTGGTGGGGGATTTTCCTTGATTTTCTAGCCAAAGATTTTTCTCCTACAACATCATGCCATAATACACATGCAATTGTACACCAAAACACACATAGCCACCTCCAACGGTGGCTGGTGGCGGCAAGAGATGGCAGCAAGCGACAACCACCATGGATCAAAATACTGAAGCTACAAACAAAGTTATCGCATGTCTTGGAACCTCTCTTCAACTTGAAAAAGATGATCTATCTAAGGTTCGTTCTGCACTCAAGGTTGATAATGTCGAGATGAGCACTTCGATTGTATCCAAGATTGAGAAGCTTTAGGAGCATCTAGCAACTAAAAATATGATCATGGAAAAATTAGCTTAAAAGACTAAAAAAGTCAGAGTTCTCTCTGTTAAGCTGAAGTACACCACAACACGGCTGGATCGCATCGAATCCGAGAAGATATTATACCAAAGCTGTATTTCCGACATCAATCAATACTTGTAGGGTCTTGTTGAAACTCGTGATTCAATGCTCCCTATCTCTTTTCGTCAGCACCTCTTGGATAAACTCAAGCTGATCTTCACATTGCTTAATCAATTAGAGGGTGTTTCGAGAAGTAGTTCTCTTTCGAAATACACGGGAGATCAGGTTACCAAAGAAACTCGCAAAGAAGAAACCCAACCTAGTCTAAGCCAAAATCCGATGAGCATCATCAAGAAAAACCATAAATTGAACAGAAGGGTAATGAAGCTTCTGGGTGAAAAGAAAAAGGGAAAATGATCGATGATGATGAGGAATAAGAGGTGTTATTTGAAGGAGAGAAGTTTATCAGGAAAAAGAGGGATAAAGTGCTTAATGAAATTGAGCGCGTTCGTAAAGAACTTGGACCTCAAGAAAGGGAGGTCATGGTTGCGAAATTTAATTTGAGAACACATTCCGTTTTTCCTCCATGGACCATGGAAAGGATTCATAATGAGGCTATCGACAATCTAAGTTTGCATTGGTTGGAGCTTTTAGTTTCTTTTGATCTGGTGAATCTAGCAGAGTCTCAGTTTGACTTTCCAGTCACTCCGAGAGCATTCTTATTCAGATGCTTTGAGCATATTGATAGAGCACCACTCTCATATTATGAAGTCAATAACATGCTCTTCTCGTTCTACATCAAATTCAGATTTGGAGCTTGCAAAATTTGGCTGCAGTCAAGTTTTATGCAACTTTTCCGGTTGAGAACTTCACAAATGTCATGTTTAATGGTTTCAGAGGATCAAGTCGTATCGAAGTCGAGTTCACTCTTGCAGATTTTCCATGTATGAATCCGAATAACTGGATCTCTCTATTTCTGATTTTATCTAAGGATGAATAGAAATATGAACCAATGATTGCTCACATTAAAAGAATTTTGATATGCTACATACATGAAGTAACAAGGATGGATGCAGAAATTGCTACTGTTTTGAAAAGGAAGTATGTTGTGAATCCAAAACTAGAACCAAAGACTTCCAAAAGATGAAACTAGGGAGGATTAATAAAGAAATATGGAACATTGTGAATCAACAAAGAGAAGGCAAAAAAAAAAGTTGTGAAAAACATGTTTTTCTTGCTTGACAAGCATTTATACTATACAACTTCTTTAAACAACATTTTAGGTTAGGTTGTTGCCACTAAGTCAAATAATGATGATGATCGGAAGTACTTCACAGAAATGATCAACTGGTATCTCATGTTCTGAAATACTCGTTTGAATATGATGACGAAGTTGTTCCAGGTTCAAAAAGTACAACAATGAAGAATCTCATGTCTTTATCTAACACAAAGGGGGAGATTGTTGGGTTATTAGTTGTATTGTGTAAAATTTATTATGTACATATTTAGTCTTTGTTAACGGATTGGTCCTGTCCATCCATCATTATGGTGCCATGTTATACTATATATAGTGCATCCATGTATCGTTCTAGGGATGATCAATGGTATTACCCAATAAGATTTTACAGATAAGTTCTCATTGAACTCTTCTAAAGCTTTGATTATAATAAGCATTTGACACTTATTTAATCATTTTTCTTACTATTTGATTCAATCTTTTGTTTAAAATCTATTGATCTTTAGTTAATTATTCTAACAACAAGCTTTATCAAAGCATTAGTGAAGAACTTTTCATCTTCATTCAAGACATCAGGTTTTAACCACTTAAAGTCATCAAGATGAAGATCATACAGATGATTACTGATTTAAATGGAGATCAACATATTGTAGCCTTATTCTAGTTCTTGATGTTGCATACCCTCCAAACAAAGATTGAACAAATGCTTAGTGGTAGCAACAGGAAGATATTCAGTGCGATGAAAGCATATTTCGTTCTGACTATTAATGTAGAAAATGCCATGTTTTGGTTCCTAAATGAACATGTTTTGAATTGGATCAACACCAACTCGAGGCTTGTTGTTAATGTAGGTAGTGCCATACAGAATAAGAAACTCAATATATTCAGCTTGTTGGCTTTGTTGATCAAATGTTGAATTGCCAATTCTACTTCCTCAGCAAAAACACCTTAATGTATATAAATTGTCTCCTAGATATATATCCACTCGCTATAGCTGTATCTAAAAAACTCATGAGCAAAGACAATTCTACTGTATTCATACTCTGCCTTCTTCTTGACCAGATGAATCTTGAGTGATTCATTCTTGGGTTTTAAGAACCTGGCCTTGACAATGGTATCAAGTTGATATCTTCAAGCTAGAACATATCCAAATTTCTTCCGGTTGATTCGATCATTCTGCTCAGATACCCTGTTTTGTTTGGCCACGTTAATATTGAGATGCTAAATATTTGTCTCTTGAACATCAGCTAATGCATGGATCTAAGAAAGTTTGATAGATCGATATTCATATTTTATTTTTTTTAACTAAAGCATTATGTTCCAGCATGATTTCTCTAACCTCCTCAATGGTTATTTTCTAGTCTTCAGCTAAATCTTCCAAATCAAGTGTTAACTTGTATTTCTTGAAAAGAGGAGGGGCTAAAGAACTACCAGCGATTGAGGAACTACCAACTTCAACGTCATTTGCTCCTTGTGAGAAGGTAACATTTCTTTTTCTAGGATTGAGCTTATCCTCATCAGAATCAATATCACTATAAGTTCCTTGAGGAATCTCCTCCTCAGAATATGCATCAGGATAAACGACACTTAAAGGAAGACCAGTATGTGGCATACATTCCAAATAAATAAACCCTTCATACTCATCATAGTCAGTCTCAAACTAATCATCAACTTCTGGTATAAGTTGCTCATCACCCATTTCTTCAGACTAAAAGACAATCATTTTTCCTCGGATATCCTCCCTTCCCGATTCAGCTGATCTGGCTGTAATCAAGTTGCAGTCGTCATCATCAATAGTTCTTGATTATTCTCACCCTTTTGTCATCATCAGTTTGGGGAGGAGAGTCATGACATGGAGAGGGAATGCAGGGTGGGGATTTGTTGGTGGTGGACGAGGATATTTCTAGGTGATGGTGGAGGTGGATTATATATTGGTGGTGGTGGGGGTGGATTATTTCTTGATGGTGGTGGTGGAGGTGGTTGATCATCACCTGGAGAGCTAGGAGGAGTGTCTTCAATCATCATTGCCTCATCATAAACCAAAGCCATTATGCATTTGATTTCTGGTAGATCACTATCAACTTTGGTCATTCTTTCTCCAAAAGACTGAGTCATCTAAGCCAATAATGATAGCTGGTAGAGTACATTTTTTTTCAAAGTTTAAGCTAGACTCCTCCTGAAAAGTAGCAATAGGCTGTATAGGAGTTGACATTGTAATGAACATTTTAGTTTGAGGAGAAGGAGATGCTGGTCTTGGAGATTTCACAATGTAAATTAATGGATCAATGGTTTCTACTTGAGGTGGGGATGATGTGTGTTGTGCTATATCTTCTGAACAAGGAGTTAATGAAAAAGAGGTTGAAGAAAAGAGAATGTGTTGGTTCAATCTTGAGGGGGAATTAGTCATTCCCTGAGTGCAGGCTTCTCCTATATCAACATCATCTTCATCATCAACATCATCTTCTTCATCAAGAGCATAATCCTGTTCATCTTCATTATTACCTTCATCATCCTCTTCTGCAGATTAAGAGGTTTCATCAACATAAGGATTTGCAACCCAATTCTCCATACTTAGGTTAAGATACATATCCCCATTATAGGGACCGGCATTGATAATCTTTGATGAAAGAACTGGAAGTCGCATGGAGACTCCATGATTTCCATTATAACCCTCTCCAGTGCAAGCTAGAATTAGTACAAGCCAACAAGGATATGGTACATATGTTATCTTCTTTTTTCTAGTGACACAATCAATTTGTCGACTAAAAAAGAGTTATGCAAAATCTAATATTTATTTGCAGGACATGGAATACATAATTATTTGCTCAAAAAGATTCAATTGGTCTACACTTACCATCTTATGTCTAATATAATTTCCAAATATCCTATTATATATTTGATGGATTTTGGTCATAAGAACATCCTATGTGCTCATACAAACCCTAATGCTTGGATCTAGGTTTCTCTATTGTACATGCAAGTTATCCAAGACTACAAACCCTAATTCTAGCATTCAAGTAATCATATTAACATGAGAATAGGTTTAAGATATTACCTTGATTGTTATGTAGCAATAAAAATCCCAATTCCTCCTTGTATTGACTTTAGAAAGCTTAGAGTCACAAATGTCACTCCTCTAATGGTTCACAAACACCAAGAGCAAGAGGATGGAGGCTGCCCAAAAACGTGTGAAACCCTAGAACAAAGCTTAGCCACGTTTTTGGTCCTTAAGGGGTCTTTATATAGTGAGGCTATTAGGATTATCTAACAAGGAAACCCTAAATTAGATGCTTAAGCCCTAAGCAACCCATGGACTCCTTTCCTTAAGGCCTTGGACGATTTCCCCATGGGTTTCCCCATAGAATTCGTCCACCCCTTAATATAAGGCAATCCATAGCCCAAATTGCAATTATTTTATAATTACAATTCAAGTCCCTTAAGTTTAATTAATCTCTTTTAGTCACAAAACTAATTACCAATTAATTATTGACTAATACTAATTAAACAATATAATTTCTCCTTTAATATATTATTCTCATAATATATTAATAATTCATATTTAATCCTTTCTCTCCATAATTCGTCCTATCAAGTTGCTTTAGTGAAGGCAACCCAAAAGGACCATGCACCATCGGGTCAAGTACATACCAAAATAGTTATGGACTTAGACACTAATCCAACAATATTTCCGCCCAACCCAATAGCATTGATGAGGGCGTATTGGGCCACGAGTAGTACCCTGAATAGAGAAATTGTTCCCTATTGGATCGAATAGACCTACATTTTTCCTCAGTAGGAGTTTCATGGTTGATTTCTGATTGGGGAAGACATAAGGAAATTCAAAAAGATGTTGCATCAATAAAAACCCTACAATACCCATATTCAATGGTTCTAGTATTGGTTTGAGCATTAGAGTCGACAGTGCAAGAATAATAGAACTCACATACTTGCTTAGGGTAGAATGGCTCTGAGAAATCACAAAATGCATAGCAAAGAGGGAAGCTTTTGACGTACTTGACGAAGTCTTCAATACCTGAATCCTTGTATTCATTTGGGATGATATCTGAGAAGGCAATGTTGTTTTCTTTGACAACGATGTGAGTATCAGAAGCATGGGGCCTTTGACCACATTACCATCAGGAATAAACACATAACAAACCTTTGACATGATGAAATCTTGAAGAACTTGAGCCGGAGAAGATGATGATTAAGAGAGTCTTTGATAGAGAATTTCGACTACTTGAATGAGTTTTAAAAGTGATGTAGGGGAGAAACTTCTCCTGTGTTATCTGTGAATTTTCTTCCCTTTTATGCAATCATGATTGGAGAGAGCAGCGACATAAAAATCTCGTATTTCAAGATGTTATTGCAAATTATTAATTGTCATCCAAAAGTTACTATTGAGATAAGTATATCAATGAGACATAGCATCAATGACATGAACCATCGGTGGAAGCGGTTAGCATATCAGAGTTGCATTATCAGTGGATCAAAGTGGCAGTTGAAGAACAAGTGAGATAGAGATGTCTCCTAATAGTATGGGTTTTCATTATCATTCATTGACATAGTATTGCGAATTCTCAGAAGTGTATGGTTTTATACGCTGAATCATTAACTTATTTTATTATAATAATAAAGGCCGAGAGTGGAATGATGTGTGTAATACATTCTAGTACGGAATGTACTTGTCAACAAAGAACGTAGAAGTTTCATCAATGTATGGTAGATACATTGAATCATCAACTTTTTAAAAAAGAATAATTATTGGGAAAGAATGCATAGGTGCGTGTATGGTGAGAATGGATTGGTGTGTGTGATAAGCTATGGTCCATAGCTTAAACATTGGCATAAATTTTTCAAATTCTCATCAAAATATGGTATGTTACGCAGAATCATAAAATTTTTAAGAAGGTTTTAAGGGCAAGAAAATATTGGTGCGTGTAATAGCCTATGGTACATAGACTAACCATCGACATTGAATTTCAAACTCTCATCAATGTGTGGTATATCATTTTGAATTGTTAAGTTTTATTGAGAAGAAGTGAAAAGGAGAGAATGGTGTGTTTCAATCACTCTAAGGTTAAATCAGCATGAGTCATAAACAATGTAAGCTTATCAAAATGAAGTGGTTTTGTCTTCGGTATCATATAGTTAAGTTGTAATCTAGAATTAAAAATTCACCATAAATTTATTTAATATGCTAAAACACAATAAAATAATACATAATAGAATGAATAAAGCAATAAGAGAATAAAAAAATAGTTAGTCAAAAAAGGAAGATTTCTAAAAGGGAAACTTGTGCAGCTTTTACATAAATGAAATAAAGATCTGATTTAGTAGATCTTTTGAATTAAAGGACGATAAATAAGTTTCCTTTCTCTGAAATATATGTTGGATTATTGTATAAGTTCATAACTATATTTGGTATTTACTTGATCTGGTTGTAGCATGGTCCTTCTGGGTTGCCTTCACTGGAGCAACTTGATTGGATGATTAATGGAGAAAGACGTTGTTATGGTTTATTAATATATTATATGAATAATATATTAACGGAGAAATATTATTTGTTTAATTAATATTGGTCAAGAATTAATTTTGTGAACAAAAGAGATTAATTAAACTTTAGGGACTGAATTGTAATTATTGGATGGTTTCAAAGTAAGTTGAGAAACCCTAGGGATAGGGTGGACAAAATCCTTATGGATAGCCCATAAGATTTCATCCAAGGTAAGGATCCAGAAGAGTCTTATGGGCTGCTTGGTGGCTAACTAACCGGATAAGGACTCTGACCGAAACCCTAATCTCACATCTATAAAAAGGACCCTTATGCTTCATATTTCAGCTACCACTTGAACCCTAGAGATCTAAGAGCCGATTTTAAGCCTTTCCCATCTCTCCAAGATCTTCCAACTTGCTTTGGTGTTTTCGATTCATTAGAGACATCACATTTTAGGTGCTAGGTTTTCATAAGCTAAAGATCTTCAAGCAACAATCAAAGGTCACATTCTTACTAGGTTATTTATGTTGATTCAAAGTTTTGTTATATGCTAGATTAGGGTTTGCAAGTCTTGGAAAATTATGCACGTACAAATTGAAAAACTAGATCCGAGCAATTAGGGTTTAAATGAACACAATAGGAATGTTGTTTTTGTAACGCCCGTAGATCAGGGCTAGTCAATTTAGAGACGATAAGCGTCAAAAACTGACTTTTTGATAAAAGATTAATTTGAATGAATAATCATAACTAAGTTGTAGTATATGTTACAAGGATTCCTTACATATAAAGAACGCCGAAATCCAAGTTATAACGAAGAAGTTATGACCTGTCGAAGTTTCACGACAGAACCAACACGACACAGCACGACGTAAAAAGTGAATTTACGTTAGAGCAATATTTAGCCTTAGCAATCTAAATGAAAGTTGTAGAATACGTTAAACCATGAGCGTACATAAAAAGAACGTCCAAATCTGACTTCGTATGAGGAAGTTATGATTTTTCTAAGTTTCGACTTAGCAGTATGCAGCCCGAATACTCGATTTGAGACCGAGCGGTTTTTAGCCGAAACAATCTAAACGAGAATCGAAGATCTCGTTAATTGTAATGAAACGATAAAAAGATAGGCGAAAACGGACGTCGGATGAAGAAGTTATGAATTTATAACGGAGTTTTCCTATCCCAGCTTACTAAAAATAAATAATAAAAATATAATCAAAATTAGCCAACGGAGTCTAAACGAAAGTTGTAGAGCGTAGTCTCATCTACGCGGGGATATAAAGAACGTCGAAAACGGAGTTCGTATGAAGAAGATATGACTTTTTGAAGTTTATTAAATATTTTCGATATTAAATTTAAATATAAATTTTCGATATTATCCAAGGGGGGAGTCAGCGAGCTGATCCACATTACGCCCAGCGTAAATCGCAAATCCAGACCCTATAAAAGGGAGTCGAGTGCAGTCGATTAATTTGCTCATTTCTCTTCTTTCTCTCGCGTTTTTGCATCGTTTTTCGTGCAAGAATTATCCCGAAGCCCCGGTATCATTTCCGAGCCCCGAAGTAAGTCCCGAGGCCCCAAAGATCCCGAGAAGTGAAGTTCCCGAGCCGAAGCTCTGCCCGCGAGGAGCCCGGTTTTTTTGAAGATCTTCCAGATCTACCGAAGAATATTACTTTTACAAGACGTAGTGTTGTCCGATCATCTTCTGATCAAGTGAGTGTATAATTACTTTCTTCTAACACATAAATATAAAATATTAGCTATGAAATACGTGCTATGTGTTATATATTCTTTGTCTATTTGAGATGGGCTTGGAATTGATGTTTTTATACGGGTGTTAAATGATTTAAATTGTGCTTGTATTTATATCTACAAAAATGTTGGGTAGAGCATGGGTAGATGGAATAGTTGGTGACGATGCGACTTCATGCCTATTAAGTAAAGCTTTGGTGACGATGCGACTTCGTGCCTATTGAGTAAGCTTTGGTGACGATGCGACTTCGTGCCTGTTTGATAAACCTTGGTGACGATATGACTTCGTGCCTGTTGTGTAAACCTTGGTGACTATGAGACGTAGTGCCTATTGTATAAACCCTGGTGACTATGTGACGTAGTGTCTGTTGTATAAACCGTGGTAGCAAATGGTCTTTGTGCCAATTCCTTAGGTAAATCCTTAGGAATGAATGGATGAAGGATAATGGATTCTTAGGGTAAACCCCTGAGAAAATAAAAGAGATATGGGGATCGGTATTTGGGTTGATTGTTTGATAATTGAATATAATAAATATATTATTGTGGGTTGAAAACCTTATATGCTCATCAGGATCCCAAGCCCGACCCACACAGTTTTCTTTACATTACAGGTGATGGCACAAGAGTATAAGTTGGTGGACTTGACGAGAGATTTTGGATTATAGATTAGTAGTTATAAATAACTGTTGTAAGGTTTATTTTATATTGTTTATGCTTTTGGTCTGTATCGAACATGACATCCCGAGGTTTTGTTATTTAATGAAAATACATTCTCTTTGAGAAACGTTTTGATAAATTTTATCATATTTTATTTTGGGAACAAATTCTGCAACTCTTTTAATCAAAAATTACTCTGATTTTATAAGAACGAAGCATAAACAAATCGGTCTTTTCTGGCCGTGAAATTTGGGATGTCACAGTTGGTATCAGAGCATTAGTTTAAGTGAAATAGGAATTTGTTGGATTTCTAGACTTAAACTTAGAATGCTAAGAGATGATTGTGAGATGAGTGTCTACCATATTTTAAGACACGAGCACTAGTATATTTTAGGAAAATTGCCTAAAATGCTATTATGTGCTAATTGTTATATGTTTGCCATATATGATATTATTTGTTCGGATCTATGGTTTGTTGCCGAACGGATCTAGAAACCTTATGTGTTTAGGATTCTAAGCGTGAGTCTACGATATTAGAAATAGCATGTAAACGTTTCGGAGTGATAAGGATGATTTGAATATCTATCGTGAATAAGGATCTAATTTCACCTTATTCGGTGTACAAATCAAAAATGGTGAGAACGAGGAGTGGAGTTGGAAATGCTGATGAAAACAGGAATCAAATACCAGTGATTGAACAAATACCTGTTGTAGCGGCAGCGCCTGAACCAATGACAATGGCCGGAGTTCAAGTGATGATCCAAGCAATGTTGGATCATCAGATGGAAAAACCATACGTCTGATTAGGCAGAATCGCAAAGAATTGTCAATTCAAGTTGAAGAACCCGAAGTAAATGGAGGGCATTCTGAAGGAGGAAACTACAGTGGGACCGTTGGTCAAGCCAACCCACCAATAGTTCGCCAAAACAACCAGGATGGAGGAAATGATGGATGTGGATGCAAGTACAAGGATTTCATGGCATCCAAACCACCGTGTCTTTCTGGGAGCCCGACACCAGTACAAGTAATGGACTGGATCTCCGAGATGGAGACAATGTTCGAAAGTTGCGAGTGTAGCAACAGACAGAAGACCGCTCTTGCAATTCCTCTGTTAAAATCTGGAGTACTGAGCTGGTGGAAGTTACTGGCTGGTACGATGCCTAAGGGGGATGCTAGCAAGATGTCATCGGAAGAGTTCGTGGTGCAACTGGAAATGCAATACTGCTCTGAGCAGGATCTTTTGGAAATCAACAATGAGTTCCAGA